CACACACACACAAACCCACGCACACAGACCCACGCACACACAAACCCACGCACACAGACCCACACACACACAGACCCACACACACACAGACCCACACACACACACAGACCCCCACACACACACACAGACCCACCCACACACACACACACACACACACACACACACACACACACACACACACACACACACACACACTCAGACCCACTCTCCTTCAGACTGAGGCACAGCGCCTCCTGCTGGCATCAACAAATTACTTTAAATGATGAAAGATGTTTTATTTTTTTAAACAGCTGGAAAAAAATGTGCAGATTATTATTTCTTGTTGCAGCAACAGTAGTAGTTCGTAGTGTTGTTACAGTAGTGATAGCAGTAGTGAACGGAGAAGTGGTAGTAAAAGTAAAAAATAGTCATAGTACATCGTAATAAATCTCTTAAGTCAGAGTATAGTATGTCTAAGTCATAGAAATGACAGACACATTCATAGTGTAGAATCACAATCAGCTTTATTGTTGGTACGAGTACACACACCAGGAATCTGATACATGCAGAGAAATACAGCTAAAAATAGCTCAAAGTAGAACAAGAGTAAACATAAAGTATAGATAATATGTACACACAAGTGTGTGAAAGAAGGTAAATATATATAAAAACAATACAACATACAAGGTCTATTAGACTGTTTGTTGTAAACTGTGAAGAACAATGCAGTAGTTAAATGGTGCAGAGTACAAATATGCTTTAATAAATATAACAGGTTGATTTTTATACAGACAGATGTTTATGCATGTATATACATCAGCTTAGATTTGTTAATTGGCAGTGAGAAAAACATTGAATTAATCAACGTTCATTCAATCAATAGAATATGACACGTATAGTGTCATCATTTATAATAATTGGTCATCAGAGTGACGGCCTGCGGTGAGAAACGGTCAGTGAGAAGTTAGAACAGGTCGTGTCCAGAGTGTGGTGTTTGCTGCCAGCCTCCTCTCTCTGGAGGCGGATGATCGAACCACACAGTGACGGATGTTTGGAGAAGATACTGGACTATTGCAGGGTAGAATAGTACCAGCAGCACCTGAGGAAGGTTGAACTGTCGGAAAATAAATTCATAAAAAGTCACAGTTTAGTTTGTTGTAGTTATTGTATTTATTAACAGCCAATCAGAACAACCCGTTGTTGTTGCTCCTGTTAGGCTGCAGAAGGCTCAGGAGGAGCAGCGCTGCGTTCAGGTGGAGAAGGTGAAGGTGGAGGAGGAGCTGCGTAGCGAGATCGACTCGGCTAAACAGGAAGCTCAGCGGCTCCGAGACCTCCGACAGGGAACCGGCAACGAGAGGAGCCGGCAGAAATATGCCGAGGAGGAGCTGGATCAGGTAGACGAACTCCACCAATCAGGGTTTAAGGTTGTCGGACAGACTCACCTGTCTTGTTACTATACCTGTGTGTGTGTGCATCGCAGGTGCGCATGGCACTGAGGAAGGCGGAGAGGGAGCTGGAGTCTCGGGCTCACTGGGCGCCGCCGGACGCTCTGCAGAAGTGGCTGCAGCTGACGCACGAGGTGGAGGTTCAGTACTACAACATCAAGAAGCAGAGCGCAGAGAAGCAGCTGCTGCAGGCCAGAGAGGGGGTGAGGACAACAACCACACACACACACACACACACACACACACACGGTAATGGTGGTGGTGGTGGCTGTTTCAGGCGGAGAAGATCAAGAAGAAGAGGAGCTCTCTGTTCGGGACGTTCCACGTGGCTCACAGCTCCTCGCTGGACGACGTCGACCACAAGATCCTCTCTGCCAAGTGAGTGAATAAAAAGGAGAGACGGGGTTTTTATTTAATGTTCTACTTTCCCCGATAGCCAAATTATTTAGACATTAGTAGTTTTTACTGATCTATTATAATGATCTTAGAGCTCGTGTTAGGAAGTTAAACGGCTCATAATTCATCTGTAATATCTATTTTATATTAACGTGAAAACATCTCCTTCAAACTACTGGATTCATTCTAGTTTATCACCAAAACTACATTTTACAGATGACATGTGAACACATCAAAAATAATGACTAGATTTGTTTTAATCAATAAAAATACAATCTTTTATTTCCTAATCATTTGAATTGTGTGTTGTTATGAAGAAAAAAACACAATAAATAACTGACAAAGTAAAAGTATAACATTGATATTATTTTTAGAATGGTGGCAAAAATAAATATTCTGGATCCTTGTCGACCAGCTGCTGTAATCAAACAACAAAGGGATCAGTATCTGATATATGGATCATCAATGATCCCTGTAGAGGGAGCTCGTTATCGCGGCTGTTCCTCCTAATAACGCCCCCCCCACCCCCACCCCAGACAGGCCCTGGCTGAGGTGACGGCGGCCCTGCGGGAGAAGCTCCACCGCTGGCAGCAGATCGAGTGTCTGACGGGCTTCTGTCTGGTCAACAATCCGGGTCTGGGAGCGCTGGCCACCGCCCTCAACCTGGACCCCTCCTTCCTCGGCCTGCGACCTCCGACCCCTCAGCACCTCTTGCTCTCCGATGACCTCGACGACATGGACGAGGACATCCTGTCTCCTGGGACGCTGCAGTGTAAGTCTGAGTCGATGAGAAGTATTTTACATTTTTCAGGTGTTTGCATTACATCTCTTCTGTCTCTGTGTCGTAGAGCCCCACTCATAACTTCTCATCATCCCCAACAACACACACTGCTGCTCAATGTCCGCTTGTTAACTACAGATGCTGGTTATCATGCAGTTTAGTTGACTCGTTAGCCATGTAGCTTACGAAAGGCAACTTTGTTGACTCACGTTAGCCATTTAGCTTACGAAAGGCAACTTTGTTGACTCACGTTAGCCAAGTAGCTTACGAAAGACAACTCTGCCGACTCACGTTAGCCATGTAGCTTACGTAAGGCAACTTTGCCGACTCACGTTAGCCATGTAGCTTACGAAAGGATAGTAGAATAGTAGTTATTGACGGAAAGAAGAGAAACATCTATAAAGCAGCTGATTCTTGACTTTTCAACACTAGTTTTTAATGTTTTTTTACGAGGAACTTCTACTGAAGTCTGGAGATATTTACGTCTTTAAGTGGCCTGCATGTAAAAACACTGTAGAGATTAATTCGGACATTGAAGTGTTTAAAAATGACTAATTGTCCTTTAAATCCCCTGAAAGCCCCACTAATCACTTCCAGTTTCCTACAGAGGCTCATGAGGGACAAACTGTGCAAGAGATTTACTCTCAGTCAACATTCCTTTTTGAAAACATCAAAAAAACAATAAATAATGAAGCACCTGACCTCGTCGTCACTCAGCTCACCCGTGGTCCGCTCACAGTCTCCGCCCCCCTCCTCTGATTGGTTCCTCTTTTCTCGGCCTCTCTCTCCTGATTGGTTCCCTCCAGACGCAGCGTGGCAGATGGACCGGCGAGTGAGCGACCTCTGGCCCCTGAGTGGCATCGCAGACACCCAGTCACCATGGAAACACTCTGGTTGGCCCCTCCCTCCTTCGCCCCCCCCTCTCCTCTCTGATTGGTTCATACCTCTGTACGCTTGACGAGCACCCCCCACCCCCCCAAACTCTGCCAGGGTTCCCACAGTTAATTTACAAATAAATAACAGTAAAATATTTTTTCAATTGAGACGTTATTTACAATCACGAGAAATATTGTGAGAAGAATATGAGAAAAATGAAAAAAAATGAATACTAAAATACGTTAAAAGATTTGCGAGAAATATTCGAAAAACATATGATGAAATGTCCGAAAAATATAACACAATTATCAGAAATATATCATAAAAATATGTGACAAAAGAGTGATAAATGTCCGAAATATAAACATCTTAGAAACAAGTTATATTAATAAGAATAAAATGTATAATTTATTGGAGGTACTATTGAAATGCCCGGTAAAATGTAGTTTTATAATAAGTTATAATTTCAATTTCAATGATTGAACTTGATCTGAAAAATATGGATATTAAGCTGTTAAACTGTAAACAGCTACAGTACTCGTGTGCTATTTTAAGTTACATTAAAATGGTTTTCCGTTGAATATTTTAAAATTGGATAGCTCCTTTGTACGATTATTTTTATGCTACTTTATTACTATTTTTTTCTATTGCTCAAGAAAACAAACAAAAAAAACCCCATAAAGCACTGGATTATTTTATACGTTCAATCAGAATAAATAGTCAAAAACATAATAATTCCTTAAATTTGACCCAACAATCCCACTAATAACTCTGGTGATTTATGACTGTGGGATCTACAGATAGAGGAATAAATCAACCAGAAGGCGTCGTTCACATGAACATTTGTGATGAAGTCAAAGCGCAAACGTGAAAATATCACAATCTACTATTTCAAGAGTAGAGATTTGATTTTAAGATTCATACGTTTTTTTTTAATGTTAATTAGGAAATTGTATGAAAATGACAGAACAGCGCGCCTCAACGTTAGCTTGTTACCTACAGATGCTATCATGCAGTTTAGAGGACTCACGTTAGCATTTAGCTAACGTGAGAAACCAAAATGAAGTCAATCAAATGTCTGTGATTATAACGGACAGCAGGTGTCCATGTGAACGCCTCCTCCCCTCTGCAGCTTCACCCTCCTCTTCCTCCACCTTCCTCCCTCCATCTGGTGAGATCAGACAAAGAAGAAGAATCTCTTCCTCTTCTCACCTTTTCACCCTCTGAAGACCTGGAAAACTCAACACTATTTTAACCATTTACCTGCTTTCCCTCTTTCCACTAACATCCACTTACAGGTCTGCAGCAGCTAAAAGCACTAAATAAATGGTTTATATATATATATATATATATATATATATATATATTTTTTTTTTTCATTTCAGCTTTTGCACATGTCACTCTTCAGTTTTATGAAGTATTTTCTTCGGTGTCTGAACAGCCTGTGTTTCCGGTTTTCAAAATAAAACAACTTAACTCCTCCTCTGCCTCTTTGTCCCACAGCTCAGAGTCTGATGCCCCTGCGACAGAGGATAGGAGACCCCGCTCTGACGTTCAGCTCTCAGAGGTTGGTTGAAGGGCGGGGCTTACCTCAACCGGAGGGGCGTGGCTTGATCACATCGCCCCGCCCTCCCAGCGGCCGGCAGAATCGCAGCCTCTCTATTGGCCAACTAGAGTTCCTCCCTGTGCCTTCTCCGTCTCTCTCCTCCTCCCTGTCTCACCCTTCTATAGGCCCCGCCTCTCCTTCTCACCCCCCCATCCTCTCATTATGTGCTCCTCCGAACGACAACTCCTCCTCCTCCTCCTCTTCTTCTTCTGCCTACACTGATGGCGCTGCTCATTTTTCTGCTCTGCTCTTCCGGTCTTCTTGCCTCCATTCTGTGGAGGCGGCTTCCAGCCTCCCGCCTGCAGGGGGCGCTGCGACGGCCCAGCAGCAGCGCTGTCGCTCCGGCAGCTTTGGGTATTTTCCTTCTGCACGGACTTTTTCCAAAGATACCGAATAAACTAACAAGACAGAAAACAAATGAATACAATCAGTGGGCCTCATTGATAAAACAGTGGCAACTGTGGCTAAGTGGAGAGAATAAGAACAAATTAGTATCTCTCTTTTCCTCTTGCTCGCGGTTTTTCCTTCTAACGTTTCTGTATTTGATCTATCCTCAACATCATACTTCCATCTTCTAGTTATATTAATTCTCTTTATAGTTTGATATTGTGTTCATATTGTGGTAACACCAGTTTATTTAAGTAATGTTTTACGTTAATAGCTTTTTTCTCTCCGTCTCTCTCAGGGACATCATGAACCGCTCGGACTCTGACTCCGCCCTCCCTCTCTCTCACGGCGAATCACGAGGCTCGCACGGCTCCAAGCCCTTCCTCCTTTCATCCAGGCTCCACCCCCTGCAGGGTCAGGGCTCCGGGGTCGGCGGTGGAGGCCTGGAGAAGAGCTCCAGCCTCGGGGAGCTGAGGGGCAGCCCCCGGGGGGGCTTCACCGCCAACGCCCCCGCCACCCTCGCAGCCTCAAGCTCCACCCACTCGCTCTTCATCAGGTCCGACGGCGCCGTCGGCCCGGCCGCCTTCTCGTCCTCCGCCTCGACGGGCGGCCTCCATGTCCCGGCCAGGAGGAGCCCCGTGGAGGACGACGGAGGAGACGAGAGCGAGTCGTCCGGCAGCCGGAGGAGAAACGCTTTAAATAAGATCTTTAAGAAGAAGCAGGGACGCCACTGAACGGCTCACGAACGCTTTTTATCTGCTACTGAAACCAAACTGTTGCTAACAGGCAACGCCAGCCGCTTCTTAATGAACTTTTCCAGCAATTTTTTCTTCTCTCCGGTTAAACTGACTAGATCCAATTTGGACTAACCCTAAAAAAGTACGACACAGGACAAACCTCACAACGCCCAGGAGTCCTACAGCGACAAAAACCAAAGAAGAAGAACAAGAGGACGACTCAAGAAGGCCGTAAAAAGTAGAACATTTTCCTTTTTTTCCATACAGCCCCTGAAGGTTCTGAAGGCTGATGCTGCATTCATGTCACGTGGGCGTTATCGTTATTATCAATATTACGACGGGGAAACTTAAAACCTGAAAGCTCAGATATTTTTGACTTAAATTATACATTTTACATACATTTACAGAAATGAACCGTCACACAGTCATCTGATGACGTTAACGCTCACAAGTTATAAACATGTGACTCTTAGTGACGTGAACGTGGCTCCAAAATGAGACCAATACTAACGGTGCGTTCAGGCGCTCATAAAGGTAATAAACTGGGACCGGTTTGACTTGAACAGCAGGTCACCTGACAACCCCTTCAGGCTCAGAACAAACTTTAGTACAATCTGTTAACTGCTCACTACATTTAGGAGGTGATGAGCAGTTAAGCAAAAGATCCGGTGTGTAGTGCATTGTGGGATACTGAGGACCAATTCATACCAGGCAGCAACATCCAGTTCTGC